TTTAGAGACCACTGACAGACCTCTATAAAAGGGGATGGTGCAGGCACCACCGGTGAGCTCACCTGATCAGAGGAACTAGCTCTGCAGAGCCCTCCAGAGTCCCCACTGCCACCCCGCCGCCTGTGCCAGCTCCCAGATGAGGAACCAAAGCCCTGCCCTGCACATCCAACCCTCAGCAGCACCTCAGTGCTGGCCTTCCTGTCCCTAAGCCACTACAGCCCCACAAGGAGGTCTCTGTGACCCCCCCTAAATCGCTGCTGCCACCCCCAAGGGCTGCTGTGTAGGACCCATATGGGCAGCTGGCTCCCTCCGACCTCCAACACACCCGCACGCTCCATCCCCATCTCATGGGATGGCTGAGATCCACCAAGCCCTGCTGGCCCAGCTGCCTGGCTACCAGCGTGGGGCAGCCCCACCGCACAAGCCACTCTTCCAGGAGGTCAGGCATCACAGCCTCCCCATCCGTCCCCATGATGGCACAGGATCTCTGTACTCCAACACCCTGGGTAACAACACCATCGGCTCATCGTTATCACCTCGAACCAAATCCAGAGAGTCCTTTGTTTTCTCCCCAGGATGCATTAAAAGCTTATTTTCTTATTCCTGCCATTATTTTCCCCTCATTCTATTCATTTTCAGGAGTGTGCTCACAAAATCTGCCAGACCACCCTGGTTCAGCATTAACATCCACTTTTATTCACTGCAAAATATACGAGGGGCAGAAAGAGCATTTCCCTGCCTGATGCCAGGAGCTGGGAGTGAACCCCGTGTCCCTTCCCTGGGCACAGTAACACCCCCAGGGCGCTGCCGGTGTCCGGGGTGAGGGTCCTGCTGAGGTTTGCTGCTCAGGGCCTGAAGCACGGCACGAAACAGGAGGCCGTAAATCTCATTAATTTTCTTTTTGCATTTCTTTTGCAACCCTGGTCAGGCTTTGCATCTGCTCTCGCTGCCTTTGAGCGCATCTGCTGCCCAAGTTGCTGATCCCTCCTGCTCCTGGTGGCTGTCGATGCCTTCCAACTCAACTATTCTATTCTAAATAGAAAAAAAAAAAAAAATAGGAAAAATACCAAAAAAACAGAAGGTGGCAAGAATTGCTGCATTATGCTAGCGCTTTCCTCAGTGCTGGTTGGTAGCTGCTGGAGCGGGTGAGCAAGCAGCACTGGAAAAGGGCTGCAGCTTTTGCTGAAAGGTCTGGGCACAGCCCAACAGCCGGCTGTGCCGCACCTCCTGCCCCTGAGCCACTACAGCCCCACAAGGAGGTCTATGTGACCCCCCCCAAATCGCTGCTGCTACCCCCAAGGGCTGCTGTGTAGCACCCACATGGGCAGCTGGCTCCCTCCATCCTCCAACGCACCCGCACGCTCCATCCCCATCTCATGGGATGGCTGAGATCCACCAAGCCCTGCTGGCCCAGCTGCCTGGCTACCAGCGTGGGGCAGCCCCACCGCACAAGCCACTCTTCCAGGAGGTCAGGCATCACAGCCTCCCCATCCGTCCCCATGATGGCACAGGATCTCTGTACTCCAACACCCTGGGTAACAACACCATCGGCTCATCGTTATCACCTCGAACCAAATCCAGAGAGTCCTTTGTTTTCTCCCCAGGATGCATTAAAAGCTTATTTTCTTATTCCTGCCATTATTTTCCCCTCATTCTATTCATTTTCAGGAGTGTGCTCACAAAATCTGCCAGACCACCCTGGTTCAGCATTAACATCCACTTTTATTCACTGCAAAATATACGAGGGGCAGAAAGAGCATTTCCCTGCCTGATGCCAGGAGCTGGGAGTGAACCCCGTGTCCCTTCCCTGGGCACAGTAACACCCCCAGGGCGCTGCCGGTGTCCGGGGTGAGGGTCCTGCTGAGGTTTGCTGCTCAGGGCCTGAAGCACGGCACGAAACAGGAGGCCGTAAATCTCATTAATTTTCTTTTTGCATTTCTTTTGCAACCCTGGTCAGGCTTTGCATCTGCTCTCGCTGCCTTTGAGCGCATCTGCTGCCCAAATTGCTGATCCCTCCTGCTCCTGGTGGCTGTCGATGCCTTCCAACTCAACTATTCTATTCTAAATAGAAAAAAAAAAAAAAATAGGAAAAATACCAAAAAAACAGAAGGTGGCAAGAATTGCTGCATTATGCTAGCGCTTTCCTCAGTGCTGGTTGGTAGCTGCTGGAGCGGGTGAGCAAGCAGCACTGGAAAAGGGCTGCAGCTTTTGCTGAAAGGTCTGGGCACGGCCCCACAGCCGGCTGTGCCAGTCAGGAAATGGTTAAATTCCCCTCATCCCCAGGCACCAAACTCTTCTGGACCTTCACCTGACTGGGGGATACTGCCTGGATGCTGCTGGGATACTGCAGCATTGCTGGTGTGTGAAGGACACGGCTCCCCAGAACCTCCTCGCCCAGGCCTGGGCTTCTCCCTGCTCCCACAGAGGAAGCCCCAAGCACTGACAGCTCCTCATCTGCTGTGCAGCACCACAGGACCACAGTCAAAGTGGTCTCTCCACCGTCTGTAAAGCTGCCTCACGATGGCTGAGAGAAAGCCGAGCTGGAACAGGCCTGGTGTTACTGATGGCCCTTAGAGGATCACAACCCTGAGAGACACCAGGGCAGAGCAGAGCCGTGGTCCAGCAGCAAAACCCCTGCCCCGGCTACCACTGCCAGCCTGCGGGCAGCTGAGAGCCTGTCTGATGCACAGAGAGGTCAGAAATAAAAGCCGAAGAGACGAGAAGGAGGAGGGGAAAGGCAGGAGGGAAATGACTGATTCCATGATTAATGACTGCCGTTGTTAGCCCTGCACGGGTGCAATGGAGATGCCACCCTTTGCTACCTCCCAGGTGCGAGGAGTCGAACAACCAGGACACGCCAGGTCTCCTCCGATGGAGGGCAAACCCCATAACTCCTGGATTGCCCACGAACCGTTCGTTGATTCTCTGCCTGCGCCGCGGCAGCTGCAGCGATCAGAGGCCAACAGTGCAGAATCGGGGCACTGTGGGAGAGAAATTAACATCAACCAGGATGCGCCCTGAGAGAGTCCCTGCACAAACACCCGCAGCTGCCTGTCTATTCACTGGTGGTATTTATCATCAGGGCACAGGGTCTCCATACTCCGACACCCTGGGTAACAACATCATCGGCTCATCGTTATCACCTCGAACCAAATCCAGAGAGTCCTTTGTTTTCTCCCCAGGATGCATTAAAAGCTTATTTTCTTATTCCTGCCATTATTTTCCCCTCATTCTATTCATTTTCAGGAGTGTGCTCACAAAATCTGCCAGACCACCCTGGTTCAGCATTAACATCCACTTTTATTCACTGCAAAATATACGAGGGGCAGAAAGAGCATTTCCCTGCCTGATGCCAGGAGCTGGGAGTGAACCCCGTGTCCCTTCCCTGGGCACAGTAACACCCCCAGGGCGCTGCCGGTGTCCGGGGTGAGGGTCCTGCTGAGGTTTGCTGCTCAGGGCCTGAAGCACGGCACGAAACAGGAGGCTGTAAATCTCATTAATTTTCTTTTTGCATTTCTTTTGCAACCCTGGTCAGGCTTTGCATCTGCTCTCGCTGCCTTTGAGCGCATCTGCTGCCCAAGTTGCTGATCCCTCCTGCTCCTGGTGGCTGTCGATGCCTTCCAACTCAACTATTCTATTCTAAATAGAAAAAAAAAAAAAAATAGGAAAAATACCAAAAAAACAGAAGGTGGCAAGAATTGCTGCATTATGCTAGCGCTTTCCTCAGTGCTGGTTGGTAGCTGCTGGAGCGGGTGAGCAAGCAGCACTGGAAAAGGGCTGCAGCTTTTGCTGAAAGGTCTGGGCACGGCCCCACAGCCGGCTGTGCCAGTCAGGAAATGGTTAAATTCCCCTCATCCCCAGGCACCAACCCCCACCGTAAGAGCCCCCTCGACGGGTCCGCCCCGCCGAGCCCCCCCTCAGGCCGCGCCCTCCGCGGGCCTTGCCTGGGCAGCGCCGCGGCGGGGAGGGGGTGGGACGGCGGGAGGGGGGCTCGGTGCTGCCATTAAAGGGGTCGTTCGCACCGAGCCGAGCGTCCCGGGGACGCTCTGTGTCCCCCCCACAACCCCGGGGGTCCTTAGGCCGCCCCCAGGGCCCGAGGGTCTGTCAGCAGCAGCCCGCGGCCTCAGCGCCTGGAGCTGCTGCGAGCGGATGCTTTCAGCAAAAAGAAAAAAAAAAAACAACCCACCCCAACCCCCTGCTGCATTGTCCTGCTGGGTTTGTCGCCGGGGCTGAAATACTGACATAAAAGCTACGGGAGGAAGTCGCAACTGCACGTTTTTGCGGCTTTACCCTATTATGATAACTTGTCAAGGAGCGTACGGGGTTGGTGTGGGGAGGTTTGGGGAGCGGAGGGGCTACAGGGTAGGGGGGGGGATTCTGTGAGGAGCTGCCAGAAGCTTCCTCCATACCCGGCGGAGCCAACGCCACCAGCTCCAAGAGGGACCCACCAGACCAAGGCTGATGTTGGTAGTGCCTCTGGGATAACACATTTAAAAAGGGAAAGAAAAAAAGCAGCAAGAACAATAGCAGCCGGAGAGAGGAGTGAGAACACGCTGAGAGCAACAGCCCTGCAGACACCCAGGTCAGGGGAGAAGGACGGGAGGGAGTCTGCACTGAAGCAGAGATTCCCCTGCAGCCCTCCGAGAAGACCATGGTGGGGCACGCTGTCCCCCTGCAGCCCATGGATTTCTGTGGTGGAGCAGATATCCACCTGCAGCCCATGGAGGACCCTGTGCTGGAGCAGGTGGATGCCCAAAGGAGGTTGTGACCCCATGGGAAGCCCGTGCTGGAGCAGGCTGATCCTGAAGGACTGCACCCTGAGGAAGGGACCCACACCAGAGCACGGAGAAGTTCATGGAGAACTGTCTCTTGTGGGAGGGATCCCACGCTGGAGCACGGGAGGAGTGTGAGGAGTCCTCCCCATGAGGAGGAAGGAGCAGCAGAGAAGTGTCCACAACCCCCGTTCTTCTGTGCCGCTGGCGGGGGAGGAGGTAAAGAAATAGGGACTTTAGTCCTAGGAAGATTTGGTTTTCTTTCTCATTACATTACTCTGATTTCGACTGGTAATAAATCACACTAATTTCCCTAAGTCCTGTCTGTTTTGCCGGTGACAGTAATTGCTGAGTGATGTCCCTGTCCTTATCTCAACCCACAAGCCTTTCGTTATATTTCATCTCCCCTGTCCGGCTGAGGAGGGGAACAGCAGAGCAGTTTTTGAAGGCACCTGGTGTCCAACCAGGCTCTAACCACAATAATAACTCAAGCTGAGAACTACAAGTGAAACTAGTTGTCTCGCCACACCCGCTAACTAAGAACTCCAGAGCGAGTAGAGAAACTAGGGCAGGATTTATTTTTTTTTTAATGTAAGGAAACCAAACTTACATAATTTAGAGTTTTATCGCTTGATCCTCAGCTGTGGCTTTCTCTAGTACCCTGCTCTGTGCCAGAGGAATGGCCTTGGGAGGGACTGATAGGCAAGAACAACTCGCTGTTAAGGGAACTTCCATGAAGGGATGGCCGAGTGCAAGATAAAGATAAAAATGCAGCAGTAAAAATAATTTCACATTACTGTGGTGCATACTGGCGTTCTGATAAAAGGGGGTTATATATGAAAAGAATATCGTACAAATGATCGTTCTAAAAAACGAATCTAACTTAAAACTAAGCAAAATCCCCTCTGTCATTGTTCTTTAAAGAAAATACTTGTTTTAAAGGTGGCTTTTTGTGTAACTCTCTGGTGTATCTGGTGTCTGTGCTGCTCCCCCATCCTTGCCTAACCAAGTCTTTTGACATATTTCCAAGGAAAATAAGAACGACGGATCTGCTACCCTGTGTTTCATTTTTAAAAATCGTTTTAAGATACAGATTTGTCATCCCTCAGAGGAAGGTTTCTGATCTACATGGCAGTGCCCAGGCTTCTGCTTCCCCAGCTGAGATATATGCTAAGAATAAAGGGAAGTGGATTCGGTGCCAGAGGCAGCCAGTGCCCAGACTGCCCCCGCTCCCCCGTCTCCGGGGATGTGATACCCGTCGAGCCAAGGATCGGATCCCAGCTTGGAATTTGGGAGATTCAGCTACGCCTCTGAATCCCTTCCTGAAACGTGGGCTTTAAAGGACTGTGAACCGCAGATGATAAAATTAAAACGATATTATTTTTTTTTTTCTTCTTCCCTGCATGAACATAAAGAACTTTTCTTCATTGCAGTTTTCTTCTTCCACTTGAGCAAACGGTAAACTGAAATACAGTCAACCTTTCTGTCTGAAATGCTCCCGAGGATGAAGCAGGCAAACCCAGCAGGGAAGCGAGAGCGCTGTGTGCGCGCAGCCATTACTCAGAAAAAGCTGTCTCTTCACATCCCTCTGTGACCATCTCTTCGTTTTAAAGACTAACTACTTCCTTCTCCTCCTCTCCCCCTAGAAGAAATGTTTCCTTCCCCGTTTCTTTTAACGGCTAAGCAAGGCAATAGCAAAGGTATTGAAACCCAGTCTACTGAATGATAACTTAATGATGTGAACCCTGTTCTGTTCCTTTTGAATGGATGGCTGCTTTAGCAAGAGAGCTGCTGGGATCTGCTCCCTGCTGGGAGGGATGTGAGGATGGAGAAACCTGGATTGAAGCTGAATGGCAACCAGAGTGGTACAAAACTGAACCAGAAAACAAGAATGAGGCCAACGCTGCGAGATTGTGAAATAAGGAGGAATTATATGCAATTAAGCTAAGTTCAAGAACTAATAGCCAACACTTGTAGTAGATATTAATTAATGTTTGGAGTTGTCTGTTAACTCCATTATTGCTAATACCTGCTAGAACACTGCCACATCGAGCTGTGTTTAGTTTGCATGCTGAAGCATGATGCAGCATGGCAGAGGTTAATGAAATGCACTGGTGTAAAATCTTCGTTGTGTTTTCAGTAGGTACAGCCATTTCCAGACCGAGTGGAAGCTGACAAATCATGCCTTCTAGTTTCACTTTCTGGCAGTCCTACGAAACCTTGAAAATTTATTTTGGCTATCTAGAAAAGCTGAGTAAAACAACCACATTTATTTCGTTCGTATCTGATGTCACATCTGAATGCGGGTCTCCAGAGGTGATATATTAATGTCCTAAAGCGTTGCACCATCTGGTTCCTCTTTTGATGTGCAACATTTTGAATGCTTGGTTTAATCTCCCTGGGTTTCAGTAAATTATGTAAACTCGGAGGCTTGGCAGCGGGAGATGGGCACCATGAGGAGATGATTCAGTCATCAATATCTATTGGGCTTCCTTATTGCTGCCATTACACTTCTTTTAGTTCTACTTATAAATTTTGCAAGTGAATAATTCACCGCATGAGGAGCTGCAAGTTAGTTTTGGAATTTGCCCACTCTGAGATTACCTGTGACTAATCCATCCTTTCAAACACGGAAAAAAAAACTAACTGGGCTTCTATTTTCCAGGGTTGGGTGATAAATCAGAAATAAATTGCATGTATATGTAACTGCTGGTGATGACATAAATCACATTCCCTTTCTTCTTTCTGGACAGAATTGGAGCACCTCGGAATAGATGCGAGTACAAGACTTTGCACGGGTGAAAGCTCCCTTGGAAAGCCATGGCTGCCGCCCCTCATCTCAACTCGGATGCGCTCCGAGAGGTCCTGGAGTGCCCCATTTGCATGGAGTCCTTCACCGAGGAGCACCTGAGACCCAAACTCTTACACTGCGGGCACACCATCTGCAAACAGTGCTTGGAGAAACTCCTGGCAAACAGCATCAATGGGATACGCTGCCCCTTCTGCAGCAAAATCACCCGGATCACGAGCTTGGCTCAGCTGACCGACAATCTGACTGTGCTGAAGATCATAGACACCACCGGACTGGCCGAAGTGGTGGGGCTTCTCATGTGCAAGGTGTGTGGGAGAAGGTTGCCAAGACACTTTTGCAAGAGTTGTAGCTTGGTTTTATGCGAGCCGTGCAAGGAGACATCCCACATGCCCCAAGGCCATCGAGTCATTGCTATCAAAGAGGCTGCTGAAGAGCGTAGGAGGGAATTTGGGACGAGGCTTGCCAGACTTCGGGAGCTCATGGGTGATCTGCAGAAAAGAAAAGCGTCTCTGGAGGGTGTTTCCAGGGACCTGCAATCTAGATACAAAGCAGTCCTGCAAGATTACAGCAAAGAAGAGCGCAAGATCCAGGAAGAACTGGCCAGGTCACGCAAGTTCTTCACCACCTCTCTGTCTGAAGTGGAGAAGGTAAATAACCAGGTAATGGAGGAGCAAGCTTATCTGCTGAACTTAGCAGAAGTGCAGATAATGTCTCGCTGTGACTATTTCTTGGCCAAAATAAAGCAGGGAGACATAGCTCTCTTGGAGGAGGCGGCAGATGAGGAAGAACCAGAACTGACCAACAGTCTCCCGAGGGAGCTGACTCTTCAAGAGGTTGAACTCCTTAAGGTGAGCCACGTGGGACCGTTGCAGATTGGGCAGGTGGTGAAGAAACCCCGCACCGTTAACGTGGAGGAATCGCTCATGGAAACTGCGGCATCCTCATCGGCGGCGTTTCGGGAGCCTGACTTTGTGCAAGAAGAAGCCAGCTGCACGCCAAACTCCTCCCCAGCCAAGCCGAGGATGCCCGAAGCAGCCCCCAGCATCCAGCAGTGTCACTTCATCAAGAAGATGGGCTCCAAGGGCAGCCTCCCGGGGATGTTTAACCTCCCCGTCAGCCTCCACGTCACCCTGCAAGGAGAGGTGCTCGTGGCAGACCGGGGCAACTTCCGAATCCAGGTTTTTACCCGCAAAGGCTTCCTGAAGGAGATCCGCCGGAGCCCTAGCGGAATCGATAGTTTTGTATTGAGTTTCCTTGGAGCAGATTTGCCCAATTTGACTCCCCTTTCGGTCACCATGAACTGCCACGGCCTGATAGGTGTGACGGACAGCTACGATAACTCCGTCAAGGTCTACACCATGGATGGTCACTGCGTGGCGTGTCACCGCAGCCAGCTCAGCAAGCCCTGGGGCATCGCCGCCCTGCCCTCGGGGCAGTTTGTAGTCACCGACGTGGAAGGGGGCAAGCTCTGGTGTTTCACTGTGGACCGTGGCGTGGGGGTAGTGAAGTACAGTTGCTTGTGTAGCGCCGTGCGCCCCAAGTTTGTCACCTGCGACGCCGAAGGGACCATATATTTTACTCAAGGGCTGGGGCTCAACCTGGAGAACCGGCAGTACGAACACCATCTAGAAGGAGGCTTCTCGATTGGATCCGTCGGCCCGGACGGGCAGCTGGGACGCCAGATTAGCCACTTCTTCTCCGAGAATGAGGACTTCAGGTGCATCGCCGGGATGTGCGTCGACGCCAGGGGAGACCTCATTGTTGCTGACAGCAGCCGGAAAGAAATCCTGCATTTTCCTAAAGGAGGTGGCTACAATATCCTCATCCGGGAAGGACTCACCTGTCCCGTCGGTATCGCCATCACTCCCAAAGGGCAGCTGCTGGTGCTGGACTGTTGGGATCACTGCATTAAGATCTACAGTTATCATCTGAGAAGATATTCCACCCCTTAAAGGCACGTCTCTAAGCAAAGCCTCTTTTGGGCAGCAGAGATTATTCCAGCCTCATGGCAATCTGATGGGACCCAGTGTGAAGGGTTCGGGAAGATCGTGCCGTAACCGAAGAGGGGTTTGGTGTAGAGGATCGTGTTTTGTGTTTAGAAACAAAATAGCTTCTGTGGTGGTGGTTTGCTTTTTCTCCTTCTTTTTGATATAAAATCCGTACAGTAAAAAAAGAACAAGCGCAAGGGAGAGTATTGGTTCCTTGCTAAATGCCTGGTCACTCCATAAACCTTCTCACCTCCTCACACCACATCTCCTCCACTTCCAGCCTCAACCACTGCATCTTTCTTTGTGCCATAAACACTGACTGACTGCTCTAAATCACCTTCCCTTCGAGGACCGGAGAGGCAATCCTCTTCTCGCCGTGCTACTCGTAAGGAACCGGGTAGCAGTTGTCTGGGCAACTACCAGAGAAAGCAATTTCTGATTGCAGCACTGCATAAAACAAAATAGCCCTCTTAAACCAGGCGGAGATGGAGCTTTACTTTCAAACTGGCGAGGGAGGGTTTTCTCGCCCCGTTTTTCTGGTATTCAGGACCTCGCCCCCGTTGTGCCATTCGTGACGGTGTCTGTTTGATGTGCAGTGAGTACCGGGGCCATCGTTGGAGACAGAAAACTGCCCTCTGATGGCAACAGGGTTTTTATTACTACTACGGGTCCTGCGGGGTAGAAGGAGGGGGGTAAAAAGGGAGGGAGCTTGGAGGGGAAAAAATATAATTGGGAAACCTATGGTTGATCTTCACTGTTTTGATTATTAAATGTATCCTGGAAACTGTCTTGGGAAGGGGGTGGGGGGGGAAGGGCTGGGGGGAATAAACCTGGGAGATTGTAGTAAATGCCATTAAATGCAACATATTGTATGTTCACCTGCACTTCACTGTTCTGCATTCCAGACCATTGCATTTAGCGATAGGTTTCCACTCATAACCTCCATTGGTGTACTGCCTTTTTTTTTTTTCCCTTTGCACAGCAAAACACTATATTCTTCCGATTATTTTTTTTATTTTTTTTTTTACGGCACCAGCAGGCACCAGAGTTCATGTTCATCACGGCTTTGGGCCAAATGAAGCACAAAACTGCAGCTGTGTGAACCAAGGCCCCCACAGTGCTACTCTCCTGGCTGATAAATGCGTACCTCAGTGTGGTGCTGCTCGCCTAGAATAGTTTATTGAAGGCAAGATGCATTTAAATAGGGCACAGTGGTAGCATGTTAATCTGCCACAGATAATAGTTAGACTGCAGTGCGTTTATTTGTTGCTATCAACAACGTAGTTGCAAATTTGGGGGCACGACAGACAATATAAAAGCTGATTTTATGGCTTCTGCCGGGCTACAGCAAATTGTTTGTTACAACGTGGAGGCAACAGGTGATTTTTTTTTTTAAGCTCCCCTATACTTTCTCCTAGCCAAACAGCAAAGTAAAATGGGCTTTAGAGCTGCTGCTGCCCCAGCCGGTTGTTCGGTGGTTACAAGGTTTGCAGAAGAAGTGACAGGAGCAGATTTGGGGGGAATAAACCTGGGAGATTGTAGTAAATGCCATTAAATGCAACATATTGTATGTTCACCTGCACTTCACTGTTCTGCATTCCAGACCATTGCATTTAGCGATAGGTTTCCACTCATCTGCACTTCACCGCTGAGATGGGGATGGGGCGGGGGGGTGGCAAGTTTGATTTCCACTATTTTTTCTGTGACTGGTTTTCTTCTTTTGACATACAATCGTACAATTGACCCCACTTCTTTCAATGCTTCAACTGCTTTGCTGTGTGTCACATCACGAACATCCACCTCATTTACTCGTAGAATACAATCGTTAACCCTAGAGACAGCAACATTCGTGTTCAGCTCTTGTGTTATAGCAGAGTGGACAACATCAGGAGCCTAATATTTTATCTATAATACGCTAACATACACGTTAACACATTAAGATACAGAGATTTTGTTTTAAAATCATATTGATCCAAAACAATATACTAAAGTTAATAATTAGTGCCTAAAAATAAAACAAGGATCACTAGAGAACATTTAAAGTGAATATTTCGTTCACAGCCGAAGAGGACACCATCTTCTATATGTTTCATTTAAACGGTATTCTGCACAGCTTTGTACAAACTATCTTTTGGTTATGGGTATAAAAAAAAATTTAAAAATTCAGAAACTAGGAAGCACACAATGAGAACACGGTAGTTTTAAGCCATGATATGAACAAGGTTTGCAGAAGAAGTGACAGGAGCAGATTTTGGTGGGATTTTGTTGGTTTTTCTCTCCCTGTCATGCTCAGCCGAAGCGCTGAAGAGGGCCAGGAAAGCAAACACCCCTCTGGGTGACAGAGGTGCCCCTCCATCGGGGCAACTTCTTATTTCTCTCCCTATAATTTGCTGGAAAAGGCTTTGGGAGGAGGCAGCAGGAGCCAAGACACCAGCCCAAGGGAACTGAACCCCCCCCTTGTTCTCCTCCGTGTGTTTGCCAAGGCTACCAGCTCACACATGGGGATTTACCTTCCCTTGCTTCTCTCTTTGGGTGGAGGGGGAAGTCACCCGAGGTATCTAACAGCAGTTCAGGGAGCCCATCTCATCTTGCATGAATGTTTTTGGGAGATGAGGGCTATTACCGGGCCCTTCTGCAGTTAATTACATTGTAACTCAAGGCATTTTTTTCCAGTATTATGGAAATGGCAGATCCTCTCCTACTGATCTCTTTTAAACATTTCTCCTGTTTGTAAGAACCGCTCCAAGCGGGAAGCTACCATGGACCTGAATAATTGAAGCAATATTATCTATGATAATATGTACCTCTGTCATTTTCTGTTCCGATGGATTATTATTTCTTCTTTTTTTTACTTTTTTTTTTTTTTGCAATAAACATCACACTACTAGCAATAACATTTCCTGGAGCGCTTGAAGGGCCATAAAAGCTGGTCCAGTAAACTGAGCAGTTGGTTCCCCCAGCCTGTTCCTGGTTACACAGTTCAAAAAAAGTGGCTGTCAGCTGTTTCTTAATTGGGAGATTCAAAAAAAAATATCACACTACCCTGCTCTGGTGGGGCAGGATACTGCCATAGGCGCCTGGGGGTGCACGGCGCCTGCGGCTCTTCCTCGAGTCGGGCTTTTTGGGCAGAAAAAGGGAAAATGAAAACCTGCCCTCCCTCTCCAGGGGGGTCTGTGTCCCCTGATAAAGCTCGATGGTGACTGTGAGATGGTTTTGCAGAGCTGGGTTTCTCACCCTGGTACCTGCCCCCCCCGCCCACGATGTCGCCACCGTTCGCCAAACGAGATGAAATGGAGTAATTAAGGGTTGTGATGAACTAGTTTGGCTTCTGCTCTCTCTACCTGGAGAAGGAGCTTGTCTGGGTTATACGTATGTGCTGGGTTTTTAAAGATTGTGTAATAAAGGAAAAATTGATCCAATTAAAAGTGCATTGCAAACGGCTCATTTTCTTATTAAAAACACTTCATCTCCTCCCTTCGGTGGCAGATTGGTTTTTACAGCCGGTGGGGATTAGGCTTGGGAACACGATGGCTCCGAGCCCCCTTTTATGCCATCAGTTGTGGAGGATAAATCTGATCTCCTTGGCAGCTCTCATGTACCTTTATCTGACGCTCCCCTGCCCTCCCCATAAACAAACCCTGGAGTTTGGCACCTTAATTCACGCTGATGCTCCCACAAGGGCAACATCTTACTCTTCACCATAGCCCATACCTGATGTTTTAAAGGTCTGGTCCCAATTCCCTGGCCCTGAGCTCTCAGGAAGGGGATGTGAAACTCTGTCCCCGCTGCAGGGGGGACACTGGGGCTGGCAGGAGGGCTGCTGTGAGGGTTCATCTACTATTCTGGGTAATTTTCATAAATCAAAGAATTATATGGGGTTGGAAGGGACTTTACTCTGGGTAATTAATTTTCATAAATCACAGAATTATATGGGGTTGGAAGGGACCTCTGGAGATCATCTAGTCCAACCCCCTGCCAAAGCAGGGCCACCCAGAGCAGGCTGCACAGGAACGTGTCCAGGTGGGGTTTGAATGTCTCCAGAGAAGGAGACCCCACCACCTCCCTGGGCAGCCTCTTCCAGGGCTCTGGAGAAGAGAAGGCTGAGGGGAGACCTTATAAATGCTTCCAAGTGTCTGAAGGGTGGGTTGAAGGAGGATGGAGCCGGACTCTTTCCAGTGGTTCCCAGTGACAGGACGAGGGGCAACGGGCACAAGCTGGAAGATGGGAAGTTCCACTGCAATGTGAGGAAGAACTTCTTTGGGGTGAGGGTGGCAGAGCCCTGGAAGAGGCTGCCCAGGGAGGGTGTGGAGTCCCCTTCTCTGGAGATCTTCAAGCCCCACCTGGATGCTCCTGAGTGCTGTGCTCTGGGCAACCCTGCTTTGGCAGGGGAGTTGGACTGGATGGTCTCTAGAGGTCCCTTCCAACTCTGACAATTCCATGACTCCGTGAAGCAGCTGTTTAAAGAGCTACATACCCAGCACAAGAAGCTACGACGTCTTTGGGTAGCGGCAACTAAGCCGTGACCACTTGTTCTGGGCAGCACCCAAAGCCCGGGCTTCTAACGGGAGGAGGGGGGAGAGCCTGTTCCTTAATCAAAGGGGGCAGAGCTACAAAAGTAAAAAATAAAGCCAGATGCTCCATTGTAGAGCCTAAGTGATTTTTCTGGGTCATTACTCAACGCGAGGATTTAAAGTTATTTCATTTTGCACAACTAATTACTCCGCTTGCCTGGCAATTTTGGATTACAATGAGCGGTGCATAAGGTCATTTAGCAGCCTGAGTCACAGCACATATTTTAGTCTAAACTAAATTTCACGGCAACCAGCAAGATTGTTTCTCCCTCCTCTGAACAAAATGTCAAAATCGGAGGCTTTGGAAATAAATATAATGACGGGGAACCGCGAGCGACTTAAAGAGTGTTACAAAGGTAATAGAGCGGTTGTTTAGAGGAGCCGAGCTCAAGGACGGGGAAATTCTATACACTTTGCTTCTGACCGAGCAGGTATAAGGGGAAAGCCATTATCTCCTTTAATAGATGCAAAGCTGCCCTTACAGCTTTCTTAATGCACCTGATGGCATCTAGGAAATGAAGACTAAAGGTTCCCCTGGACTGGTTCAATCTTAATTGTGTTAACGGCGGTATCAGACCTGACGGGAGATGAATGAGACCTGGGGAGGGCAGAACCACAGAATCTTCATGGTTGTAAGGGACCTCTGAGATCATCAAGTCCAACCACAAAAAACCTCCAAACCTCACAACCAGACACAACCCAACAATCCCGGGCACTAGAGCAGGCCCTGAAGTGCCACATCTACACGGTTCTTAAATCCCTCCAGGGATGGTGACTCCACCACCTCCCTGGGCAGGCTGTTCCAGGGCCTGACCACCCTCTCAGGAAAGTCATTCTTCCCAATATCTAATCTAAACCTTCACTGCCCCAACTTCAAAACATTTCCTCTGCTCCTGTCATTATTCCCTTAGGAGAAGAGGCCAACCCCCACCTCTCTGCAGCCTCCTTTCAGAAGGGACCCACAGACCCCACTCAGAAGAACGTGGGCTGCTACTTTAGCCTTAATGTGCCTGTAGTTTATGAAGATCTTTTGTCTCAACTGCTGCGTTCACAAGAAAGCACGAGAACTGGAACCTCTGAACGGTACATGCAATCAACAATATATAGTCGCAGAGAAGAGTACTGGGAAGCACTGGGGAGTTTTGGGAGGCTGGTGGGCAGAAAGCCTTGGGGGGTGACGGGACCTTGTCAGGGCACAGCCCCTCCCTGGGTTATTTTAATGTCGGAGGTGTTACTGGGAGGGAACACCTTTCACACCCGTACCAGCTACTTCCAAAGCTCCACTTGCCGAGCACCCAACCAGCCAGGTGACCTCAGCCAAGGAAACTACCTAGAGATGCTAGGAAATGCAAAAAAACCCCAACCCAAATATTTCCCTCACTGCAGACCTAAAGCAGGGGAACAGTTGGGTTGTGAAACCCTCTGACCCTCCTCCACCCGTGCAGAGGACATCCCGAGCCCAGCAGCATCCTCTCCCCGCTCTCCAGCTGGGCTTCTCCCAGGTCCATGGTGGCAAGGGAGAGGATCTCCCTCCAGCCTGGGTGCTCCTCCGTGGCAGCACGCCACCGGCACGCCGGTTCTTTTTCCAACTTTTCCCAGCTGGAGAACAGAAGTCTCCCACGCTGAGGCTCAGCTGATCCGCACCGTGTGGAGGAAAAGAGCTGTCACTCACACATTTGACAAGACGAGACCCTCCGCGTTTCTGCTGATAACGTCTCCGTTCTCGCCGAGTGCCAGAGCACTTAGAGACATTTGTTCTGCATTTTGTGTATCGTGGTGGCAACAAGAAAGCCAGAAGAGCTCTTGGGGAAATCCCACCAGATCTGTCAGGATTTGCCATCAGAGCAGCTCTTCCCTTTCCCTAACCAACATCTCCTCCTCCTCATTCAGCCACACCGAGGGGCCACAGAGCAACCAGGTCTCTGACAAACCTTCAGCAGATAGTAGGGAGAAATTCTTTGCTGTGAGGGTGGTGAGAGCCTGGCCCAGGTTGCCCAGAGAAGCTGTGGCTGCCCCATCCCTGGAGGGGTTCAAGGCCAGGCTGGATGGGACTTTGAGCAACCTGGTCTGGTGGGAGGTGTCCCTGCCCAGGGCAGGGGGTGGAATGGGATGATCTTTAAGGTCTCTTCCAACCCAAACCATCCTATGATTCCATAAGCAGTCCCTGGCAGGTGGATGTGCTGGACGCAGGGATCGCTCTCTTTCCTCCTCTACATTTTCTGAGCATCCTTGTGGTGGGTTGACCCCCAGCCTCTGCCTCCCGTTTTACCTCTGAGCATTATGTGGTGAGGAACACCCCAGTTGGACTGAGCAGTCCTGGCTGTTTTCCTTCCCAATATCTTCCCAACTCCCTTGGAAGCCCGGCCGCTGTGCTGGCAGCAGCCCACATGCCAGGGTGGTACTGACACTGCTGTGGCCTCAAATCCAAAGCTCGGCACCACAGGGGTTGTGATGAAGCCACTTTGCTCCATCCTGGCCAGACCCAGCACATCTTTACACGCCCCAGGGGGTGGCTGGGGGTGCTGCATTTGCCCCCGCTGCCAAACAGAGATGCTCACACAATTGGTACAAACTTAATGAGGTGCCGTCAGCGTTAACTGCTGCCTTCGACAGGGGAGAAGAGCGACGCGGGCTCCTGTGGCACGGATCAATGGCCAGGTCGATCTCCAGGTCCCTGCTCGGAGGATGCTCCGATGAGTTCAAGCATTACTTGGCTGCACAGAGCCAGAGCAAACAGCGCCCCCCCCCCCAAAAAAAAAAAAGGGCTTTTAATCGCTCTGCATGAAATAAAATTGGGGTTTGGTATGGTCTTGCTCGTGGGTTAACACAGTTCCTCAGGGGGAACCTGGGGGATGTTTCCATCTCTGTCCTGAATAGAGCCTGGTGCATCTTGGTCCAGGATTCATTCCTGCAAATCCTTGGGAAGAAGGGCAGGAGGCTCCTTCTCCTTCCCCCAGCACACACCCTATCTGTTTGAAAGAGGAACATTTCACATTTCTACAAGCAGAACAGCCTGCAAAGGCTGCCTACAGCCCTCCCGTCCCACCAGGGCCAGGCAGCAAGAAGACACCGACGTTCTATGGTCCCTAGTGAGAGCCCCATCCCTTTCTCCTCCGTTGGGTGGAAGGAAGAGCTCTGCAGACACCCACCCACCTCCCGTCCGGGCTGCTCCAGCCTCAGCAGAGCCAGGACCGGGCCCAGAGCTCGATGAGGGGGTCGGGCTGCGACGGCAGGCACCGTCTCCTCTTCCAGCCCGTGTTTTCAATTAGGGCTCGAGGCGCTTTACCGGCGGAGGCCTCCCTCCCGAGGCCGGGCCGATTGATTTATGAAGTTGATTAAAATATTCAAACGATTTCGGGCGACGCTGCGAGCCCGCCACCATGTGCGTTTTTATCATAGTTGGTGCCGTGCCAATTAGCTCGAGACTCTCCTCTCCCCCGCCTCCCCCCACCTGCTTTGTGCGCTAACAAATGAGGGTTATCCTGGCCGTACTTTTGTATTTATTCGAGATGATGCATATGTGCTCTCGCCGAGCAGTTTGGAAAGGGGCTGGCTGGCAGTGGGGAGCCTGGCGGGGCAGAGCTGTTTCCGAGCGGAGAAGGCATCCAGAACTGTCTAGCTGGAGCTATTTATTCAAATCTTCCTTATGTCACTGGCAAAATGAGGGTAAATCAGTGGAGAAGCTGGGAATACAATCCATCTACCATAAACTGCAAGTTCTTTCTCTTAGCTCCACTGGGGTTTCTCCCAGAGAGAGCCTTTAGTTTTTTGTGGTACCTTCTCCGTCCAGAGCCGATCTCTGCTGGTATCAGCAAGAGCCCTGAACATCCTTGATGTCTTTCCAAGAGCATTCTCTGGCCATCAAAGAGCTAAGTAAAACACTGGTCCCCTCTGCAGTACCCAAAGTTCAACCTCACTGACCCCACCAGCTCCTGAAAGCCATAGATGGAGCCACCCACGAAGAACACATTCAGAGCCAGCACCCAGTGTCCAAATGCCGCATTGTCAGAAATAAAATACTTAAGTCCAAGGAATAACATGCAAAACCCCAGGGATCCCTAGGGTTTGGGGTGCTCGGTGGGCAGCGAGGAAGGATGCTGTGGATGCCCCCAGTGCTGGGCCACCCCTGCGAGTGGCACGGGGCCGGCACGGGTCCAGGGGCGCAGGAGGGGAGCGAGGGAGCCCGCCTGGGCCAGCTGCATATCACGGACTAAAAAGGAAATTATTTCACCAGCAAGGCACTGCTCGGTGCCACCACGAGGCTTTGTGTTGAGTCCCAGGACCACCACTTGCCCTGGCCAGGGGGAAGGCAGGGGGCTCAGAAATGGAAGACATTTCACCACCAGATCCCGTGTTGCCACTGATCATCTCCCCTCCGGCCCCAGCGCCGGCAAACAGGGGCGATGCTCACGACGGGCTCAGACTGCAGCATCCTCCTCTCCTTCCCACCCTCCGGCATCTCCGGAGAAACCCTGTGTCTGGGGGGACGGTGCCGGAGACGTGGAGCCACCCCGGGTCCGGCCCCACCAACACATTGGCCCGGGGATGGCAGAGACCAGTCCCAAACAATTAATAACATGGCAACTACATGAAAAACACACCTCCCCGACGCTTCCTCCTGCTACACGGGGACATTGCTAAGGCAAACTTCATTTATCACTATTTAAAAGCCAAACAGAGGAGCACAGGGTGATATGGATACGCCGAGGAGACGAGCAGCGCTGGGGAGACAGAGGGAAAACAGGAGCAGAAAGGGAGGGAGGTGGTGGGAGGGAGGAAACCTCCATCTGCTGGCTTCCAGGAGAGGAGGCGGCTCCTGGCAGCGCCCACGGGGCAGGACACAAGGGACCTTGAGGACCTCGGTCACCATCAGCCCTACGACGGGTCCGGTGAAACACCACAGATGTTTTTTGATGGAAAAAAAATATCAGACCCGGGGAATATCCCCATCTCCCCGGAGGAAAGAGATGAATTGGCAAAGGGAAGGGCTCCAGCGATAAGGGAGTTTTTATAAACATAACCTAATTGTATTACTTCAAAGTCCTGAAGTTTATTGCCCTGTTTAATGATGTGTCTCGTTATTTATGGTGTAGCACAATGAGTCTGCTATTGATTTAATACACTTCCTTAAAGACCGTCATTGTCACAAGCAATAAAACGAAGCCATTCTGACACAGCTCGATTGTGACACATCTCCATCACCCAACCCTGAGCACCCCCGGCGTGCGGGGGCCACCGTGGCGGGGCCGGGGGTGAGTGGTGAAGGGGGTCTTCCTAGGGAAGGACGGAGCCAGAGCGCAGCAGCCGGAGGGCAGGGGCACTCAGGATGGGTTCCCCTGGCTCAGGGATGCTGCCCATGGAGATGTGCCACCATCTCCTGCTGCTGGGCCATCAGTTGGGGACAAGACTCCTGTCTACACCTACTACCCGGCGCGGTGACGGTGTATGTGCAGGGGAGAGGGGCTGATGGATGGAAAACAGCACCAACGATAACCAGGATTTGTGCCCCTGCCCGTTCCCACCGCACTCCTCACCTTTCTGGTACTGGAGCCAGAGCTGCTGCTGGACCTTCTTGCTGGGGAAGTGGATGGTGCAGCTGAACTCGGAGCCGTACAGAGCCTCCGCGATGTAGTGGGAGCCAAACTGCTGGATGAAGGAGAGCAGCTCCTCCCGGCTGCTGTCCTTGTTCAGGATCTTCAGGATGTTTGCGAAGCCTGTGGGAGGGAGGCAGGGGATGGGCAGGGGGGACAGGCAGGGCTGGTAGCCACAGCCTGGGGCAAGGAGGCCCAGAAGATCCTCTGCTCAAGAAATAGAAGTCCCCACATGGGTGCAAAGCACAGCTCCTCCTCTCTTCCCTCCAAGGTCTACATGGTCCTGCCCAGAGAAGCTGTGGCTGCCCCATCCCTGGAGGGGTTCAAGGCCAGGCTGGATGGGGCTTGGAGCAACCTGGTCTGGTGGGAGGTGTCCCTGCCCAGGGCAGGAGGGTTGGAACTGGATGGTCTTTAAGGTCCCTTCCAACCCAAACCATTCAATGATTCTATGATCCTTCGGGATCCACAACCTGCTATTTACCCCGGGCTGTGGCTCTGGCATCCTTCTGTGACTCTTCTCCTGAAGACTTTTCCAAAACCAGTATGTAGGGATGTCCATGTGAACACGTGTGTGCACAGACACACATATCCACACACACACACACAACCACCCTGCCACCAGCCCCATCCCGTTCTGTAGGCTGCTGGGACACCATCAACACCCTCCCCAGAGGATGTGCTTGGCCTTTGCTTTGCAGGAACCACAACCAGAGATGTTCTCCTGGTGTCACTAATTACAGTTTTCCCTGCAGACCATCCCCAGAGTAAAAACCCTGCATAACCCCTAACTATTTTCAGGAAAGCTGGAGATGGCCCAGAGGGACACATGGGGCAGCTCCGTGGGTGCACAACCGTTGGAGCATCTCTTGAGCAAAGCTCTGCAGCACCCAGTGGGGACAAGGAGGACAAGGACATGGACTCTGACTGCTCTGCAGAGAGGAAAAATCGTGGAGGTTTTGGTGACTACACGGTGTCTTGGCACCCTTTCCAGCTGGCTGGTATCACCGTTTTGGTTCAGTGGTGGAACTGAAAACATACTGCAACAAAATACGTCATAAATGTCACCAAAGTGAGGGTATCTGGCTGCCTGGTTGGCTGGTTTATTGAAGGAGAAGGTTGGTTTAATAAAAAAAAAGCTAGAAGAATTCGTTTTGAGCTTAACCCAAATATTTTGTTCAGCTCCGAAAAGGTTATTTCGTTCTGGGGCTCTGCAGCCTGTCTGTGCTAAATCTTTCTTTTTTTTTTTTTCCTCTTTCTCCCCTTAAAAAACAGGTTGATTTTTAAATAAAAAAAAAAAATGCTGTTTTGAAATGAAAAGGCAAAACATTTCAGGTCGTAACAAAATGTTTCAGCGTTTCTGAAACAAAACGTGTAGCTATAAAAACGTGGAAGTGAAATGTTTTGACATTTGCAGGATCCTCCCTCTTTTTTTTTTTTTCCTCTTTCTCCCCTTAAAAAACAGGTTGATTTTTAAATAAAAAAAAAAAATGCTGTTTTGAAATGAAAAGGCAAAACATTTCAGGTCGTAACAAAATGTTTCAGCGTTTCTGAAACAAAACGTGTAGCTATAAAAACGTGGAAGTGAAATGTTTTGACATTTGCAGGATCCTCCCGCCCGCCCCTTCTTCAGCTGCGACTCCTGCTTTATATGACCCGCATTTACAAGCACTTTGGGTCCTTTTGAAAGCACTTTTTTTTCCAAGAATTTACTGTTTTTTCATATATAATCGTATACACAGCCACCCCCATATGGATCTTCCTGCAGCGTGGCTTGTTGCCTTGATCCTGGCTCTGACCCCAGCGCTCGCTTTGTGCAATTGGGCTGCACAACCCCCCTGCCTCAGTTTCCCCCCACCCCCTAAAAAGGAGGAAAATCTCTCTGCCTGCCTTTGGAGCAGCGCTGGGAGCTCGAGCCACTGCCCGAGCAGAGCCTGGAGGTGGGAAATGCTGGTGAGATACTCAGCATGACCGTTCCTTGGGGCAGAAGACCACCACCCACCCACCCAGCCTCCCATGGAGATGCATGATTGGAAACCCTCACCTGCAGAGAGGGTGATGGAGCTGAGCTTCACCCTGTAGAGGTTGCTCCTGACCCGCCAGTGCTGCACCATGGGGTACCCCATCGCCTCGTCGTACTTGATGTCCCCTGCAAAGGAAGAGCTGGTGCTCAGCCCCTGCCCACCTGGTGGCCACACTCCAGGGGACGCTTAATGCTCACACCGAGGAATGGCTTTGCCACCACAGGGGCAAGAAAGGGGATGGCAGCAGGGATGGTGACCTCCTCTGGTGGTCAAGCCATGGGGTCTCCAGGCTGCCTGGAGCTCACAGGGATGGAGATGCTGCCTTGCCCCGTGCCAGGGTGGACTCATCCACCCCATACGCTCTTCCTGCCCAAGGAACGCAGGAGGGATGCCGTGAAGGACCCCACAACACCAGGGATGCTGATGTCCCTCAGGGACCACGCTGGGATCCAGGGTGGGAGAACGGGATCTTGCCCCAAGTGGGCTGCTCGTACCGGTGAGAAGCTGGAGGTCGGGAAGGGGCTCCGAGAGGACGCCACGGCACTGCTCTTCCACGGGCAGCGGGATCACCATCAGCCCATCGGCCAGCTGGGGGAAGTCCTTGATGAAGTTATTCTCCCTGCAGAGAGAAAAAGACGACTGCAAAGCAACGATGCAGGCCACGGCCGGGCAGGGGGGCTGAGCTGCCCCGGTGACATGGGGACGGATGGCTCAGGAGGGTGAAGAACATCTCCTATGAGCAGGAGACCTAACAGAGGATAGGGTTTGCAGCCCCTGCTGCCAGCCACCCATGGCTCCACAGTCCTCCAAGGTGGAGGAGCTCCCTCCTCTAATGAGCTCCCTGAGGACCACGACTCCGTTAGGTCTCCAGCAACACGGGACCGCTCTCAGCCTGGGGACATGGTCACCGGTTTTGGCCCGAAAGTGTGGATTTTCAGTGTGCCACTGGAGAGAGGGCAGACAGCAGTGAGCAGAGGGAATGGCTGCTACACCCCAAAACTGCCCCTTTCCACCACCTGCAGCATCTTCCCACTATGGGACCGTGACCAAGCCCTGCAGGGGGTCCCCACCCCAGGCAGCAGCATCACCCCTGCGGCTTTGCCCCCGCACGACTGGCTGTGTAAAAGGAGGAAAAGGTACATTTCTAGACAGACACACAAAAAAAAATAAAAGCTGGCGTGTGCAGCTCACGGTGCGATTTTACCACACATGCAGGATCTTTCCTAACCTTGGCAGGTATAACATCGTATAATAGGCCCCTAATGAATTGTTTCTAGAACAACGATACGGGGGAAATTATTTGAAATGGTGAACAGACAGGTCTCTGGGAGACCAGCCTCCCCCAGCAAGCGAGACACCTCATGCCCGTGGAAAGGAAACGGGAGGTGGGGGATTTTAAATATTGATCTTAGAGCCAAAATATAGGGCAGGAGGCTCTGCATCCTCCGGGTGTGGAGACAAAAGGACAGCGGAGCAGAGAAAAGGGAGGTTCCTGCAAAATCAGGTCAGCCCCAGGAGTCGGGGGCGGCTCAGGCTGGCACCGCCTGCCCCAGCTGCATTTCTCTGAACAGATTTTCCTTTAAAGAAAGGAAAATCTGCTGGGTTGACCCCTCTTCCCTAGTTTTACCTCCCCGCAGCCCGTCCCGATGTGATGCTCCATCATCCCATGATCATCTCACAAGTGGGAACACCACGGCCACCTCCAAGGGTCCTGCTGCGGTGAGATGCTGGGCTGGTGGAGCACATCCCCGGGGCCCTCCTGTTGCTCCAGGGTGAGGATTTGGCCAGTACAACCTGTACCAGGGGTAAGCAGGAGGCCATAGCCCCCATGCAACCACCCTGGGGATGATCCCGGCCCTGAGGTAGGTGAGGAGCAGCTGGAAAATGAGGGAAGAGGTGGGGAACATGGGAAGGAGCGTGATGGTGTCTCTGCTGCTCTCCCTCAGCAGGAAAGGGAGGAAAACACCAGCGCTACCAAATCTCAAAGCCCTGGAGAAGCACGATGCTGTGCTGGGAAAGAGGGATGCAGCTGCGCTGAGCCCCCCTGTCACCCCAGGGCATGGGGACTGTCCCCTCCCTGATGGGTCACCCTGCATCCCAGGGTGGGCACAAGGGCCAGGTGGGTCACACCAGAAGCCTGTCCAGCCCCCGTGTCCCACCTCCAAGGGGACCAGGAGGGACAATGACATGGCTGGTGGCACCTTCCCAAGTGCTCCCCCACTGTCCCACAAAGGGGGACAGCCCTGGTGGGGCCAGAAGAGCTCAGCCACGGGGGGACACAAACAGGTGGCACCACAGACGCCAAAAAAACCTGTGTTAACCCTGAGCACGGGGCAGAGACGATGCGGAGAAGCAGCCTGTCCTCCCCCCTCTCACACAAACCCAAGGGCACCATCTCATCGACACTGTCCCTGGGCATTAGCCCAGCTCACCCGGGTGACAGGACAGTCCCCAGGGGCTGGTGGCCCCCATGCACGGGCAGCAGAGGGGGGAGATGCTGGAGACGGGTGGAAGGGGACCCCGCAGGCAGCGGCTGCCGCTGAGCTGCCCCCTCTATGGAAAGGTATTTACCGAAAAGCCGTGCTCTGTGGCGCCGCTCGCTGTGATGCCGTTGGCTTTAACTGCTCAGCAGTTGAAGGGTCGAGGAAAAACACGGGAGTCAAGGGGTGGGTGCCCACAGCCTGCTCCCCTAGAGGGAGGGAGCAGTGGCACAAAGCAGCCCTTCAGGAGCACTTTGGGGATGCATTTTTGCTACCAAACCCTGCACCTCCTCCCTCCCTCTCTCCCCACCTCCAGCCCCAAGGCAGGGACGAGCCGAAGCCGTGCCAGGGGAGCTGGGATGGCACATTGGGAAGGGCAGGGGACACCCTGGGGACACCCAAAGGGGCTGGTGGCTGCTGTGTGCCACGGAGCCGCAGCCGGCAGAGGGCTGCAGCTCCTCTTCCACCGCGCCTTGTGAATAACCCTGCGGCTGGCAGCGCTGCTCGCCGGGAAGGCACGGGGAAAAAAAAGAGTTTCTGCCAGGCTTTTGTGCTCTCTGATCAAACCCATCGGGCTCTGTGCAAAGGGCAGGGAGGCAGACGAGGGGAGGGATGTGACAGCAGCCCTGTGCGTGTGCCACCACACGTGCCTCCATCACCGCTTCACACCCAGGGGGTCGGTGCTGCTTCCCAGAGACACGGCAGCACCCTCATCACCTCGTGGTTCCTGCTGGCCGTGGAGGCAGGTTTATTCCCATGGGATGGGGAGACAGCCCAGCAAACCCACTGGCTCCCAGCACCTTGCAGCCCCACAGCATCCTCCTCTGCTCCTCTTCTACCCCACAGCATCCTCCTCTGCTCCTCTTCTGCTCCCCATCATCCTCCTCTGCTCCTCTTCTGCTCCCCAGCATCCTCCTCTGCTCCTCTTCTGCCCTCCAGCATCCTCCTCTGCTCCTCTTCTGCCCTCCAGCATCCTCCTCTGCTCCTCTTCTGCTCCCCAGCATCCTCCTCTGCTCCTCTTCTGCCCTCCAGCATCCTCCTCTGCTCCTCTTCTGCTCCCCAGCATCCTCCTCTGCTCCTCTTCTGCCCTCCAGCATCCTCCTCTGCTCCTCTTCTGCTCCCCAGCATCCTCCTCTGCTCCTCTTCTGCCCTCCAGCATCCTCCTCTGCTCCTCTTCTGCTCCCCAGCATCCTCCTCTGCTCCTCTTCTGCCCTCCAGCATCCTCCTCTGCTCCTCTTCTGCTCCCCAGCATCCTCCTCTGCTCCTCTTCTGCCCTCCATCATCCTCCTCTGCTCCTCTTCTGCCCCCCAGCATCTCCCCAGCACTCACGGAGCGGATGCCCGGTACCCGCAGGAGCATGTGTGGACTCACAGCGCTCTCCTGGTGGGGATCTGACCATCTTTTGGGGCATTTTGCAGCTACTGAGTCATTATACAGGGAAATGCTCTTTTTCGCTCACAGCCCCGGTCCCCAGTAGCATCCGACCCAGAGGACGTCCTGCCTTGGGAGGGAGCTGACTTCCAGATAAATGAGTTTTGATGCTGGGAAAGGTCAAACGGCCAAAGGCTCCAGTGAGCTCTCGTACTGGCAGGGTGGGCTGAGGAGGAAGGCAGTTGCCTGGATTAAACCCAGTTCAAAATCCTGGCTTTGACGGACACTTGGTGTAACCTTGGCCGAGACATGAATCGCTCCCGTTGCCTCGGGTGACAGGTAACAGACAGCAGCTCCCTCCGTCTCGGGGGCTGGAGGGGTGAAGGCAATTAGCGGCGGCTCAGGTAGCGGGAGGAGGGCTCACGCAGCGACAGCCCGCTGTGCTGGTGTTCTCCTGCCCTTCTGAAACTCCATACACAGATGTTTTCGGGGAATCTGACCTTAAATTACACACCGAAGGTCATGCAGTACAGCCGTGGTGCCGCACTGCTGTGCTCCGCAGGGCTGGCATCATCTCACCCAGGTGATGGGAAGCCTCCACAAAGGACCAGCATCACACAGCATCCCCGAAGGAAAGGGGGTTTAGGAAGTTCCACCTAAACATGAGGAGGAACTTCTTTCCTGTGAGGGTGGCAGAGCCCTGGAAGAGGCTGCCCAGGGAGGTGGTGGAGTCTCCTCTGCAGACATTCAAACCCACCTGGACACATTCCTATGCCACTTGCTCTGGGTAGACCTACTTTGGCAGGGGGTTGGACTAGATGATCTCCAGAGGTCCCTTCCAACCCCATATCATTCCGTGATTGTGTTTCTGTGGGGTTTGGGGGGGAGCAGGGGAGCCCAGTGCAGGCACTGGGGAGCAACTGGAGTGCTGTGGTCCTCCTGGACGGGGCCACGGCCATCAGGTCCTGGTCCACAGCCTATTTATGCCGAGCCCCGTGGCACCCTGTCCCCTTGCCGAGGCGCTGAAAGCCAGGGCCAAGCTCCCAGTGGGATTTTGGCCTGTGGTAGTGATAGATCAGCTGGTGACTCACATCCTTTTCATTTCATTTTCCTGTTAGCGACACCGTTGGGTGAAGGAGCAGCTTCTCCTCCTCGACTTGGCCGGCTGTGGCTTCCTCCCCTTGCATTTCACACCCCAAGGACACAACCTCGAGACCGGAATCTGCCCACCGAGCCTTTTGGGGACCCTCTTTGCTCCTGCACAACTCCCACTGCAAATTCAAGCATCAGCCAGCGTGGGGATCCCTGCCTCCCTCCGTCACGGACACCCTGCATCTCAGCGACTGGGCAAATATATTCATGAAGGGGTAAAAAAAAAAAAATATAAAATGACCCCACGAGTGATTAGCTGATGCTCTGAAGCGTGAGATTTAATTACCCTTATCTGAGCCGGCACAGCTACAAATGTTAATCACATTATCATCCAGCGTGCTTATGTTCAGCAAAGTGTCTATGCGAGGACTGCGCTTTCTGCCATGCAAGCCTGAGAGGACGCCTTCTCTGGTAAGAATAATTTATTAATCTTACTTCTTTCTGTCCTGCAATGGCTTGGGGAGAAGATGATGGATTTGAGGTTATTCAGTGCCAGCTTTTGACCCAACTTTCCCTCGGAGAAGCTTTCCCGCTGGGGGGGCTGCAAGCTCACAAGAGCCCAGCCTGCATCTGACACGGGGACATTCAGAAATAGCTTCTTTTTGGCTTGTCATCACCC